CTTGCATTGTGGCCTATCCCCAGCTATCCTCGAGGCTTTTAGTTTCACCTTGAAAGTCCCTTAAATTCGCTCGGATTTTCAATACAGACGTCAAGTCAGTCCTTGTGTCCAGTAGGCTCCGTCTCCACTTTCTTGAAATTGAGATGAAGTCTATTTGATTCTTGGTGTTTCCATCTGGTGAAATCCATGTCGTCTTGTGTATATCCTTGTGTTTGAACACACTACCGCCAATCACCAAATCATTGAAGGCGCAGAAGTCTGAGAAGAGTTCACCATTGTCGTTCATTTCACCGAGGGCCTCACGACCCATGGTGAGTTCTCTTCCTGTGTTGTCTCCTCCCAGCTTCGCATTCATGTCGCCCATCAGGATTTTGATATCGCCATTTGGGACGTTGTCCATTATTGTTTGTAGTTGTCTGTAGAACGCCTCCTTCTTCTCTTGTTCTGAGACGTTTGTAGGCGCATAACATTGAATGACTGTAACTTTCCTTCCTTTTGAGTTGAACCTGGCTGTCATTATCCTGGAGGAGATTGGTTCCCACTGCATGAGAGCTTTGGTTGCTGTTGGTGACATCATGATGGCCACTCCCTCGGTGTGCTCATGGTTGTCCTCTGGGTGGCCGGAAAAGATTACTGTCTCTCCAGTAGGTAGTTGGCACCTTCCAGTTCCGTTCCATCTGCTTTCGCAGATTCCCAACACTTCTATTCTGTACCTTCTCATTTCAGCGGCTATCTGGGCAGCCTTTCCAGTTTCGTACATTGTACGAACATTCCAGGTACCCATCCTTACTTTTGCTTTCATCGAAAGAAGGCACATCGGCTGACTGGCTTCCCGAAGGCTAGCTTTCACCAGCCTGCGTCATTTCACTTCCCCGATTCCAGCGAAAAGTAAGGCTATTGCTTATGTTTTTAGAATTTTTAATATATTTATTCGTTGAAGTTTCTGTAGCGATTTGGTTGTTTTACAGGGGTGGAGTTGCTAGCACCACGCCCCAACCCTCCCTCTTTACCCGGGCTTGGGGCCGACGAGAAAACTAGTAAGCTAGTAGCCTAGCAAGCTAGTATCTGGCGTGGTTATGTGCTTAAATTACTCTCTTAATATAAGAATAGTACTTGTGCAGTGTTGTAGAATATAATTCCACTGTGGGTAACATTTATTTTGATAAATTCTCAGTGATGACCACGTTTTGAGCACAATTTATTTCTCAGGAAATACTAATGTATTACACTATGAGACTTTGTAGAATAAAGACTAGGATTGTTCTCTCGAATTAATTCCCATTGCTTCGGCTATGTGTGAAAGACAAGTTCGAATTCCGTTCGAAAGGCCCGATGGAATGCGATAGATATCTTTGAAGGCGGCACTATTTTTGTTCACTTGGTGACCGCTATCAATCAAATGAGCCAAAATAGAACTTCTTACAGATTTTATTTGACCGTTTCCAAACAATGAAGGAAGATGCTCATTAATACGTTTGTTAAGCTACCTAGTTGTTCGTCTTATATAATATAGCTTTTTCCACAGGAGCAACTAAATTAATCACAATGAACTAGAAAATTTTAGTTCATATAATAGACAGTGATACAGCATTAATAACTGGATGACGTTTCGAACACGATTTATTCCTCTTAGTCACTTATTTATTTACGATTTGTCAGTCAACTGAATGAATTCTAGAATTGATATAAGTATAAAACTTGGGCAGTGTGGCGGTAGACTATAACTCCATTATGGATAAGATTTTATTTCGATAAATTACACAGTGTTACACAGTAATATTAAATGATGACGTTTATAGCACAACCAGGATTCAGTAATCAGTCTCTCTCCACCTAAATAGATTACTTCTTAGAATCTTAACTCTCTCCAACGATGCTACTTCTGATAGAATGCAGTATACTGCATATAATGGCAAATCTCCTTCTACCTCGGTTACAAAATCCGGTGTTCCTCAAGGTGTCGTCCTCTCTCCTTTTCTTTTTTCTTTCATCCTACACGACCTGCCCCATTCAAACGAAACTAACTTTGTCAAATATGCAGATGATCTGACTGTATCACTCACTGCCTATCACTTCCGAGTCTGACAGCTCCAAACTTAATAGCTTTCTGTTGGACATCAACAAGTGGTCTAAGTCAAATGGTCTTCTGTTAAATCCTTCCAAATGTCAGGCACTTGACTTTACTTTCAAGCATCGACGGGACTTACATGAACTTGCTAGTTTGCATGATGCCTGTAGCATAGATGGCACGGAAATTGAAACCAAGTCAAGCATTAAATACCTTGGATTAGTTCTTTCCTCTGACCTTTCATGGTCACCCCACATCTTATCTATCTCTAAGAAAATGTTTCGTCTTACCTTCTACATTAAAAAGTTAGGACAATCAGGTATCAACCAACCTTTAGTTTTGCAATTTTTAAACTCCTGTATCTTACCTATTGTACTCTATTGCTCTCCATTTATCTTTCCTGGGTTTCTCAAAAAAGATTATATCATATTACGAAGAGTATTAAATGCTGTGAGTAGGGCTTGTGGTCTGCCACTGCATGAGCTCGCTAATACTATAGTCGAGAGGCATATAAATTCCTGTGTGAAATGGGCAAAGGCTATACTGTCAGACCCTCTGCACTCCCTTTATTCACACCTATCTCCTTGTATCTCATCAGGTAGGACGAGAAGTCAATATAAAAAGTTATATGCTCGTACCACTAAGTATAGAAATTCTACAATACTCTATTTAGCCCGTACTTTATGTGATGAAGACTCTGTTAGACGTGAAACTTACAAAAGTTACTATGTAATTAGCACAGTGAATCGACCCTTCCATTGTTCATCTTACTGTATTTTATGGTGTCACACTTTCTATCGTTTAATTATAACTCTGCTATTTTATATTAGTTTGTATTACTATTATTACTACAATTTTGTACTTTATGCATATTTTTCACCGTATTGCATACGGTATTTTGTTATGTAGCTGCTGTAACAATCGTTTTATTATTATTATGTAATGTGTATTTATAATTTTTTGTCGTTTTTGAGTAAATTAGATGCAATATTGTACTGAATGCTGAAAATTCCTTGCTGTATCATTAGTACTGTTTTTGGAATAAAGTAAAAAAATTATTATTATTACTATTATTGTGTGATTGTGTGTTGATGCATGCAGTGCAATTGCTGAACTGAGACAGAGATAGATTGATTACTGAATCCTCCCTGGTTCAATGAGTCTACACCCAACACATGCAATAAGAATGATTCGATGCAAATACCAGAGATATGGAAGGTATTATTACCATGTCAGTCAGTCCAATCAGAGGAGGATAATAAATAATCTTAAATAGTATTCTATTTCAATTCAATTCAAGTACATCATAACATTCTAACAAGTTACTCACTTATTATGACTATAAAAACACTCGTCTTATTTCCAATCCGAATGATTTGATCAATTTTGATCGTATTATTAATTCCTGAATGTACTTTATCTTGATCTTATTCAAATATCTGATCATCAGTTTTTACTCTTGTATATAAATGAGGTAAAAAGTTGTGTGAGTAGTGACTTGATATGATTATAAGCAGTAATAATTTGTGCTCGAAACTTGTGGTAATCAGTTAATATTACTGTATAACACTACACTGTGATTTTATCAAAATAAAATCTTATCTGTAATAGAGTTAACTTCTGGAATCATGCTACTGTATAAATTCTATTAGTAAACTTAAAATCAAACAGCGCGTGCTTTGCATTCACTTTGATTCAGGTCAGTTTTGGAAAGGCTAAAAACTCCGCAAAATTGATCCTTTCAGGATTTCATCATGAGTTGACATCAGTTAGAGAACCATTGGAAAACCTGGGAGTACTGGATAGCTGTTTCCATTGTCCTAGTTTGGGACTCTTCATCAGTACGCACCCACCGCCTGGGTTAGAACCCAGGACCTTCTGGTTACAAGGCGAGCTCGTATACCATTAGGCCACTGGGACCCAATCCAATGGTCCTTGAATTCTAACTTCTGCCAATTCACGACATAACGCGACCACTAGCCAGTGTCTTCGGCGAGTATTTGTCCTCACACCCGACCCGTTGTACCCTACTGGTCACGACTTCCCACTGGAACCCAGGTAACTACTTACCTGAATAGGGCCAGTCGCCAGTTAGCATCTAATTGGTATTCAAGTGTTGGTTTGTAGGGACGTGATTGGTTACAGGATTTCATCATAAGCTGACATCAGTTAGAGTTGGCAGAAGTTAGAATTCAAGGACCATTGGATCGGGTCCCAGTGGCCTAATGGTATACGAGCTCGCCTTGTAACCAGAAGGTCCTGGGTTCTAACCCAGGCGGTGGGTGCATACTGATGAAGAGTCCCAAACTAGGGCAATGGAAACAGCTATCCAGTACTCCCAGGTTTTCCAATGGTTCTCTAACTGATGTCAGCTCATCATGAAGTCCTGAAACTAATCAAATCCCTACAAACCAACACTTGAATTGATCCTTTATTAGAGTCTTTGACAAGATCTTATAAAAAATTCATAGCTATTCGGTGTTGAAGATAGTGTTATGATGTTGATGAATTTTATTTGGCACACAATACTTAAATTAATGATCAATTTGTCAGATACATTGTTTTCACTCCTTCCTTAGTTGTTGTCCTATTAGTGATTTTGAAGACTCGAGGCGAGACTTTGTAATACGTTTACATGTGTGAAAAGATTTCAGGAATAAGTGAGAGAGGCAGGATAACTTAAGATATGCATGATAAGGCCTCAAAAGAATGACTAATCTAGAAGTCTTGCAGTCTATCATCACAAAGTGATCCAGTGACTTCAGTGATGATAGGGGTGGAAGTCGTTTCCTTAGTGAATTTGAACACTATGATTAACTAGTATATGAGGAATACACAAAGTCTGCAACTGCCGATAGTGATAACAGAGTTTAGTGTGCAAATAAACTGCATAAACTGTAGAACACAAAATGAAAATCATAAAGTTACTCACCAACATCCTTATCACCTCCATCGGATCTCGACCGTGTACAGTGACACCGTTAATTTCTTGAATTTCATCTCCGACATCAATAGCATCTGGAAAAAAAATTAATAACAGTTTAAAAAGATGCATATTATTCGCATAGCCTATTTTTTGTGGGTCAAAAAACGGTCCTAGATTCAGTTGTGCATGGGATTACACGGGCGAAAGACTGAAGAAAAACCCTAACCAAGACGAAACACATGTTGTCCAATAGTACTCTAAGCTTTTAAGTAAGTAATTCTCTGGCTTATGTCAGTCAGTAAGGACGACCAATTATGAACTGCCTCTAAACTTCCTAGTTTATACATGATATAAAATTAGTCCCCATTAGCATTTCATGCATCGATGTCGAAAAGATGTAAGTTAAAAAAAATTCACGAAAGACGATTTGAACTGACAGAGGAAGCTGATGTGATTGTAAAGCGTATACAAATCATACTGCAGTTAAATAAGATACCTGGTTTTCGAAATGGAAGTGAAACTCAGCAAGCATTGTAGCATGAATACAACATCGCATCAAAGCGATTCATAACGATAGTCAACATTCAAGCTGAAGATACCTGTCCAATTTAAGTAAAAGCATTTTCTCTTTAACCCCCACCCCACCCCACCCCAAAAAATATAGGTCTCAGAAACTTGGCCGGAGTGTCAAGAAAAAGGATTCCCAACAGCCAGTTACAGACTTTTATCAACAACTGCCCCCTTCGTTGGCTGGCTCCATACTAAAGATTCAAATGGCCAGCTAGCTTGTCAGAGAGAATTAGCAACAAGAAACCCTGGCTGATTGGAAACAAAACAACCACGAGCCGATTGCTATACAAATATATAGGAGAGGATAGCAGGAAATAGAACAAAGTGGAGACATGTCGTTGAAGTGTTATGTTCCACTTGGAACCCAAGTTAGTCAGTAAAAATAGGACTGGTGAAATGTTTAAGTGACAACAGAGCACCAAAACTAAGTAGTACCAAGGAAAATATAAGACAAGAAGTGATATACATAAAAGAAGCCTTGAAACTTAATAATTACCCGGATAAATTAGTCAAGAAATATGTAGGTAAATATAAAACTAAAAATAATGATAGTAGCGATAGTGATAATAATAATAATAACGATAACAATAATGATGGTAATAATAATAATATTTAATATTAATGACGACATTAACAATAAGGAATCTAAATCATCAGTAGTAATTCCATACAAGGAAGGAACCTCGGAAACCTTACGCAGAATTCTTAACAAGGCAGAAATAAAAATGGCTGGTATTCAATTGAACGGAAACAATTTAGTTTATCTAATACCCTGTCTGCAGTGATTGTCAGCTCAAATACATAGGTCAAACTATAGTAGAACGGCGTCAGTCAGTCAGACTAGCCGAACATAAAAACCTAGTAAAATCTAGATTGGTTGACCCAAATAAGATAAGAAATCTAGAGAATAGTTCAGCTATACCACTCACTACATGCAATTACCCACAACCATACAGTAGAGTAGATGGGCTAGGATGACAGTTTTAAAATCTAATTTCACACGGTGGAGGGAGAGCTGGATAACAGAAGCTTTGTTTATCGAATCAACTGAGAGAGAAAACGTGTATTAGGAATGATTCAACACCTATCCACCTAGATATCTGGAAAATTCTACTACCCCAATGACGACGACAAATAGGAATGGACAAGGAAAACAATAAAACTCAAATCTCGAAGTCGTGTGATTATAATTCATGAAATGATTATGAACAATAAATTTTGTTCGAAACATTGTTATCCAGTAAATAATAATACTGTTCCACTCACTGTGTGATATATCTAATAAGTAAGACTAATATGGAATTGCTTACTACCACACAGCCCAAGTTTCACACATATATTAACAAGGGAATAATGCATAATACAAATATATAAATAATTCCAAGTTAATCAAACTTAAAGTACTACTCAGAAAAAATCACGATGAATAATGAATTCTAAGTCAGAATAATACAGAAATACCTAGACTGATAGAACAATGACAAGTAAAACGATAACAATACACGAGGAATATACCTATCTTATTTCAATCACTAATCGGTATTTCAGTGCGTCGGCGGCACAGCGGTTAGGACGCTCGCCGACCATGCACATGGTCCGGGGTTCCATTCCCGGCCACTGACTCACTCCTTTACCTCGCTAAGCCAGAAATGATGCTGGTAGAGAGGAAAGGTTGGGCATGAGGCTAGCAACCCATTCTGTAAAAGTAAACACTGCTACAGAAACTTCAAACCACTAGCTTTAAGCCCTATGTTTCACTGGGAACGTGAAGAAAAAAAATATTTCTATACAATATAATCCTACCACCATTAAGCGGGAAGCGGGGAGGGATAGTAACTCAATGATAACCTTTCTTACATCTACAAAAGGCTCAAGAAAAGCATTCAGGATGTCAAATGCACAAATTGAACCACAGTGGGAACAAATTCACTTATTCATTATCCTTTAAAATATTTAATACAAACACGATGATTGCCGTTAACTCATTGGAAAAACTATAGGTTATGTATGCCTCGTAAGTACGACAGGTTTACAACAAATTCAGCTTAGAGATAATAGATAGTGTGAAAACGCCTAAGAAATCAGACACTAATGTAAAATGATGGTTGGTTATTACTATGCTTACCATAATTTCTAACAAAGAAATATGTATTCATTAGAAATGAATCCATACTAACATGTGCAGTCAAGATGAACTAAGGACAGTTACCGAGTGACTTTTACCAACCATTCAGACTGAAGGACTGTAACACTCCCATAGTTTGTTTGCAAATTGTAAATTTAAATGTTGCGACTATATGATGGGAGAATTCTGAGTTTCAAATTATTTCTCCAGTTATCAAATATTAATTTTTTGCATACGTTGTAACTATTTTCTAATCCTATGAAATCTTGTCTCTAAGCCCCTTGTAATCTATATTCGTACCTTCATACTATCATATCAAGTTGAAAATTATTATCACCTTCGTTACTATGTGAAATTAAACAAATAATAATTGTATCCATGTAAAGTAATCTATATAAATGCGATTGTACAGCTTTTGAGAATGAAATCGCCGAAAAGATATCTTTGCTGAACTTCGTGTTCTCTTCTTTCTAATGTCCATATGGGTATTTTTCACGAATTCTGAGTTTACCGCGACCTCCGAACCTATCCTTAACCTAACTCCTAACCCTAATCTAACCTTAGCTCCAGCCCTAAAGGATAAACAGTATTCACAACCTACGCTGGAGGTTACTGTCAAAGTCTTTCACAGATGCAATTACCATTCTCAAAGCCAATTGTAAAGTGCAGTTTGTTTCACCAACCTCAATGTGGTCACTCGTTTCAAGCTTTAGATGCATATTTTCTTATTTATTACTATTCTCAAGTATTGGTTTTGTAGGGATTTTGTTTGATTGCATGGAGGATTTCACCATGAGTTGACATCAGTTAGAGAACCATTGGAGAACCTGGGAGTACTGGATAGCTGTTTCCATTGTCCTAGTTTGGGACTCTTCATCAGTACGCACCCACCGCCTGGGTTAGAACCCAGGACCTTCTGGTTACAAGGCGAGCTCGTATACCATTAGGCCACTGGGACCCGATCCAATGGTCCTTGAATTCTAACTTCTGCTAATTCACGACATAGCGCGACCACTTCGCAATGTCTTCTTCGATGAGTTATTGATGTCAGCTCATGGTGAAGTCCTCCATGCAATTTATTCATTACTAATTAAAAGTTACACACAGAGTAGTGAATCTTCAGATAAAAGAGACAATAAAGCTCATCACCTGTACGATCCGCAGCTCCACCATGCATAACACGAGCAACCAATACGGCTCCATTTCTTTCGTTGATTTTCATTGTGACACCAAGTGGTTCGTGTTTCTTAATTAAATTTACAATCTTTAATTTATAAAAAAAATTTTTTTGAAAAGGAGAACAAATAAATCAATCTACTTTAATGCTGATGTCATCTTCGTCCACCTCTGGTGATATTTGTGGCAGAACTGGTCCATAGGCTTTATTCGCTATCCCATCATGACAAAGTAATAAAGACTACACAAAAGAGTCAATACACAATAAGTTATTCTTTCTAGGTCACTCACCTTAATATGTGGTTTGGCCAGTAAATTCACTAACTGTTCTGCTTCACTTATATAATGATGACATCTTAAATGATCATAAGCCTTCACAAAGGAAAAGTAGATAAAGAATGTTATAATAAATTATCACCTCGATGGCAGCAGCTTTTGCGCATAATGATACTGGCTGGGGCTTTGTTTGAGACAATAATAATTCAATTTGTTCATATGTCTTTTATTATTAAAAGAGGAATTAGTCGAAAGGATAGAAGGATACCTTCAGAAAACGTGTATTAATATTTTCGTTGCCTGATTTAGCACTAGTTCCAAAGCCTAGAGACATTTTCAAACAATGCCTGAAAGAGGCTAAAATTCAGAGATTAGGATTTTTCACATTGACCTTGTATATGATTGGTAAGTAACGTATCGATTAACTGTCTTTGTATGCTTGCTAGAAAAAGACAACAACAAGACATCAGCCAATCATATGAAAAACGACTTTCTATGTCTCTTATATAGCTGACTAATACAATATCCTGGGCATGCCAGTTACTTTTATAGGAGATTTTAAGACATCAATTAGTATTGATGTGGACGTGATGAAATCGAGATGAATTAAGTAGAAAACTATACCTGGTTGATAAGCTGTTTCGATGAATATTGTGTTGACTAATTTCTGAAGTTTGGCAGATATGGTTTCGGTTGTTCCTTCCCAAAGAACTGTGTTGACGCAATTTTTATGCATTTTCGTTCTACAATATGTCAATATTACACGTACTGTTTGAATGGACATGATGAAAATAGTGGGATAAGACAGAGATGGGGATTTTTACTATGTTCATTTAAGTAACACGTAAATATGCTAACTTTTAATAATGATAATAATAATAATAACATATAAACCGTGAGCTTGAAGCTCTGTGTTCCACTGGGAACGCCAAGGAATAAAAAAAAGCATAAAAAAAATTTTTTATAAGTTTGTTTGCTGGGATCAGATTCGTTTCAAGTTTGACTACGGAGTGATATTTAAGTTAGAAAACCACTGGAAATTACCAGGGAGAACTGGACAACTGTTTCGTCCTAGTTTAGGACACATTAGCTGTACGCACCTATTGGCTGGTGAAAGTCGCGCTAAAATCACGAATCCTTAGAAGCTAAAATTCATAGGTTGGCCATTAAATCGGATCCCAGTGGCTGAATGATCTATGGGCTTGATATGTAACAGGAATGGGTTTGAACCTCCGTCGATGGGTGCGTAAAGCTGATGATTATTCCCAAACAAGGACGAAATAGCTGATGTTAGTCCGTAATCGAACGTGAAACATATATACAAAGAAATGTTGTTACAACAAATAAGTGTTAATTTCGACAAATATGTGATCTTTAAGTGGTTAGTGATTATCTGTTAACGTCCCTATTAAGTGAATAATATTCATCAAAACAGTTGTTACTGGTTTCAAAGGGCAAGTCTAGCATAACGTGAGATTTTCAGAATGTGATACAATAATGCATCTAATTCACTCTTTACATTACACAGTGTAACAACAGAAGGCAAGACACGGAAGCCAAGGTACATTTTTCATTAATCAAACCGCTATTTATATCGTGATTGGACACTAGTAACTAGTGTGACGTGTCTAGTCCTTTCTTTGGTGCAAACTGAATTCTATCAGTCAGTTATGCAGTGTGGCCATCATTCTAGGTAGCTCGCCATCATGGTTGCAGATACGCCTTGCTGACTTGTGCCAACCAGCACGAAAGTTAGGTCCAAGGCTTCCTGTCGATTGCCTCCAACTATCTAACAGTTTATATTGGTTAACCAATCATTGAGCGAGCGTGTGATTTTGGTTTACATTAAACAACATGAAAAAGAATGTTCAAATACACATATCTCGTATTCTGTTACTAATGTCGTATTGAACTGTGGGAATAATATCCGTTGGAACACACTGTCTGTATCACACTGCCACAATAGCACAGGGAAGGGGGGAAATAATTGAACAGGGGGTTTACACTGATTATATTATCGAATAAGAATATGAATATAAAATTAAAATTTGAGTGAAATTATTAACAACAATGAGAGAAAGGATAAAGAGGGCCGTTCACTTAGTATATCACAGTAACCTAATAGTGCCATCCCTTACACACTTTTCCCATCACATAAAATGTGTGCCTGACAAATAAAGTATTCTGGAGTTTCAATACTTCGCCGTCCGAGCATACAGTCTTTGCTAATTGCTTTTAGTTCATCTATCCTATCCGATGAGATAGATGCAAGGAGAGAGTTGTGTGTATAGAGAGCACGCTTAGGGTCTGACAAGATAATTTCTGGCATCAACTTGTTTGTCTGTATACAACAGTATTAACGATCGGGTTTTGTGACACGCCACTCGCCCTACTGACAGTTTTTAGTGCCTTTCGCAGCGTAACAAAGTCATTCCTAAATAGATCAAGAAAAATTAAGTTGTGAGGGAGTAATAAAGAAGGATAGGTAGAATACAAGAATTAACAAACTTAAAAAGTAGAGACTGAGTGAGCCCAGACTGTCTTAAATTCTTTACATAGAAAGTTAAACGAAATATCACCCCTAAGAAATAACATGATGTCTGAAGACCAGGAAAGATCAAAGTAAATACACAATCCAAGGTATTTAACTAAGATTTAGTCTCAGCGTCTATGTCATCTATGATACTAGAAACATGCGAACGAAACGGTTCATGTAAGTCACGCTTGTGTTTGAAAGTGTACAAAAGAAAGCACATAACAGCTGCTAGGGATAGTTTATAAAATCGGAGTAATTCGACCGAAGCAATTGTGGCTTATACAGAGAAACTTTCAGAAAAATCTTATTTTGGCTTCCTCAAAATTCTGGATTATTGTTTTAGAAATTTTATACTGAAACCAACGAAAAGATGCTTCGAAGTTTTGTTGCTCTATGAAATTTTATAATGAACACATTAGTAATAACTCGTCTTAACAAGAGTGCTGGTGCAATTCTTTTGGACCAGAAATACCATAAGGAAAAAATGAAGAATATACTCTCAAATTTTCTCAGCCTCCCAGAGACGGAAACACAACTGAACTGACTGATGATGACTAGCAGTGTAATCTAGAATGCGTATTTCGTCCTGTTCGGGATTCGTCAGTTAGATGCACCTGCATTCCCCAATGAGTGATGGTGTTCCCATCAAGGCTCGAATCCAATGCCTATAGTTTCAAACGCCAAAGCGTTATTCACTAGGCTACTTGGACCATGAGCGCCACCGCTTATGCAACCGGTGGTATTAATTACTTACTTCAGTTTTAGATTTTCCCGTCGACCAACTGGTGCATACACCTGCAAAATCCCAAATCGGACGAAACGCGCATCCTATATTCCACCACTTGTCACCATCTACCAACTGACTTCAGGTTGCATGAACAGACATCGTCGAAGCATCTGCACAAGGAGCCAATAAGTCAACCTGAAATGCGCTATTGCATTGCATGCTCACAGTGGACATCGGACAAAAGACTGATTTCGCCAATGTCGAAATTCTTGGAAGAGGATTTCCTTCACATAGAGAAAGGCTGACCTCTGAAGCCTTATACATTTTAACCACAGCGAATGCAGTAAATAGGAAAGAAGGTATAGACTTATCAACTCTATATGACAAACTCTAATGAAGCAAGACAGATGAAAAACAACAAACACTCTATGAGCCTCCATGACTTTTTAAAAAGTGTATTGTCATTCAATTAGTGGATGGCGGCTAGCAGTGGAATCCAGGATGCGCATTTCGTCCTATTTGGGATTCGTCATCTGGATGTACCTGCATTTCTCAGTGAGTGATGATGTTCCCACTGCAGGTACATCCAGATGACGAGTCCCAAATAGGACGAAATGCGCTTTATCCTGGATTCCACTGCTAGCCACCATCCACCAATTGTATACTAATTAAATACCCAGACATCATCGTCGAAGCATCTGCACAAGAAGCCGACATGTCAACCTGAGACCGAGCACTTCGGTCCAATCAATCGACGGGAAAATCAAAAATTCAATTCAATAAGTGTATTGTCATGTTTATCACATATGAATTCACGTATTTTCCATATGACAAATAACATACACTCACACACACACACACTCATACAGAACTAATCCTTGCAAATCAACTATAGGAAAATATACATAACAACAATTTGACATTAGTCATTACAAATATATGTGAGGACTGCTTACATATTTCCACTGGTAAACAATTGTCCATGAACAAATGACCTTCAAATTAACTGACTTCATTTTGTGTAAAAAAAACAACATTTTGACTATATATTTTGATGATTAATAAAAATCCGAATAAAATCTGCTGAAGAAGCTGTTGCTTACACAGCGAAACGTTCAGAAAAAATCTTAGTTTGATCTTCTTAAACACGCTGGGATTAATTCAAATAATTTATAATGAATTAATCTGATTTGGTGCTCTAATTATAACACCTACGCTGTGGAAACTTATAGAAAAAGAGAGTTAATTTATGCATATTAAGGTGGAGAGTTCAGGATGGGTAGGTGGGGGTGAATAGTAATTATAAAATAGATAAAATAATTTAATTTAGTAGATTTGGAACCTTAATAGTGAAATCAACTCAGTGAGTAAAAGTCGAAATCAGTATTGAGTGGAATGTTCTGAGACAGAACCAACCAAACATCAAAGTCCTGGTTGTGTGGACAGTCTACTTGAGCGAAAAAAATATTTACTTTTCAGTTAAATTCTCATCTATGACTGCTCTAGAGCATTTTGCATTCCCAATACAATACCAAAAATATTTTCTACTCTGGTGTTTAAAACAATTAGTCGCTTTTATAAATTTGGATAGTGTTGTGATTAGAAGACGGAGATTGTCTGAAAAGCAGTGTGATGTATTTGTGCTATACATTTCGAACAATCTGATCCCTCACACATTTACTTGTCAAGTCGATGTATATGGAAAAATTAAGGCAATTGAATTAAATGAAGTCTTTAAATATTCCCATTTTTAATATTAGAACAAGACATATAAGCGAACAATATTGCTGTTTCCAATTAGATCTTCTTCAGGCTTTACTCAGATTTATATATAAAAATTTTAACCAATGACGGTGATTTTGTGGATCAAATAATAATAATAATAATAATAATAATAATAATAATAATAATAATAATAATAATGTGGTAAGTGTTTTGAACGTAGTTAATAACGATGATTATGATGATAACAAAATATTGATAATAGGGTTTATGCAGGTGGCGATAAGAATAACAAAGGTAGTATATGCATATATGTGTATATGTAGACAATTCAATAAATAAATAAATTAGGTCAAATCCCAAATGTTAGGTAATACTAAGGGTGAGTGGATAGGTAATCATAGTTTAAATAAATATCATAAAAGTACTACGGAAATGGAAAATAAGAAAGGGTGGGAGAGTTTTGAATAGAATTCACCTAGGCAAGCAAAGGAGAGACAAAGGTTGAACAAACTTCTCACGTTGTATGCAAAGACTAGGATTGTTCTCTCGAATTGCTGACTTTTCGCTATTTAATTCTAATAGCTTACAAAATCTTAGCATATATAACGAAGAGTTAACGGGTGAGAAAATAGACAACTAAGGTCAAGTTAAAGGGACACATCGAAAGTCAAAATAAAAATGAAGATCACTAAAGCCGAACAACAAAGGAAATAGTACGTCTGTTATGATATCAAAACAAAGTTTATTGACTTGATCATCGTTAGTCAGTCTAGGTTCATTTCTCGCTGTCAAGTTGGTCATTTGGTCAAGGTAACAAAATCAAGTGTAGATTGTTGGATTCGATCAGTGTGTAAAATTATGAAAGTAGTGTGTGTTTACGTAGTGAACTTGCTTATCATATTCGTGTTGATTTTGCCACTTCATGGGGGAGGGGAGGGAGGTGTTGTAACCAGGTTAGATTCTGTTTTAGTCCATCATTCCTGTTCAGACAATTTGGATTCCACTTGATATGAAGTGTTTTTGATGAAGTGAGACGTTCTTTATGATTTCGGAGTTTTTCTGGATTATTTCAATAATGTGAAAATCAGTTTTGTGACCTGATTGTATAGCGTGTCGACGAGCAATGACTGATGATTTTTGTCTTTTATATGGACAAGGTTGTTTCGTGGTGTGTCTGATGTTTTGAACAAAACTCTCATGTCGAGCTTATTGAGTACTCTTGTGATATCATCTGACGTCTCTGATCTATATGGAATGACTACTGTTGATGTCCATGTTTTCGGAATGCGTTTTTGACCATACTTAGTGTCAGTGTTGATTTTGTTGATTAAGTTCCTTGGGTAGTTGTTTTGCTTGAGAGTTTCAGTAATGTTTTTATTTCCTCTTCTTTTTTTAATTTTTTATCCGTTATCAGAGAGTGTGCTCGTCTAAGAAGACTTGAAACAACTGATACCTTTGCGCTGATGGGTGTGATGATCTGAAGTCTAAATATTTGTTGGAGTGGGTTTTCTTCCTGAATATGGATATACTAAAACGTCCGTTTTCCCTCCTCTTAACTAGGCAGTCTAGAAATTGTAGTTCACCAATGTCTGATTCTACTTCCGAAGTAAACTGGCTGCTGGAGATACATACATCGTTGTAAAATGTTACCACAGATCACAAAATGTGGCACAGTAGTTAGGACTCTCTCTGACCATGCACAGAGTCCGATCGTCTGCCGACTAACACCTGATATCTATGGTCGGCCTGCAAAATTTGGGCTACCGATATCCATTCTAAAAATTCCATACTTGTAGCAAAAATACGGTGTGGAATCAAGCTGTAATAAAAAAATGCGTAGAACTGTGTACTACTTATTGTTTAGGATGAGTAGTATTACATCACTCACATAAACCACTAGTGTTTGCTAGCTAAGTTGAAAATATCTAAACACTGGACAGCCGTTTTGCTAGGCTGGAGCCTTGCTCAGCATCAGTGTACTCGCTGTCACTCAACTGGAACAGCCGGACACCGTATGGTACTTAGATCACTTGGATAATATGATTAACAAGCACTACTGGTTGACGAGAGTGACACATAACTATTAATCGCAATCATTTAGTAGTGTGTGATTTTACGCAGATATGGGGTGATATAATTGTGGTCATTTTTCAAACAAACACACCAGCAGAAAGCAGTTATTCATCAAGCTAATTCTCACTACTCCTTAGTCATAAACTCACTTTAAGACAAATTTTATATTTCTTATTCGCTCTCTGTTGGTTGGATACTACTCAAATCATTTGCTAGCCAAATTGAGGAGGTCTAAATACCAGACGACCATTTTTCTCGTTTGGGGATGAGAGGTCATCAGCCGTTTGATTCACCTCAGGGAACTCAGTCAGGTAGTAGTATATAGCACAATGCATTTATACTTGTTTAAGTGATTGTCATTCATAGTATCAAGCAGGTCATACGTCGTAATCTCCCGCTAGTGCGGAGCTGGGCACACAGATAGTTCCATGCGGGTCTAATCAAAACGTGTTAGAGAATATTATCCCGCACAGCTGCAAATATAAGATGAGGCACCATAATTGAACACCTCGTCAACATCTGCCAAAGCACATCTCAACTGACTCGTCATTCAGAGTCATTTACAAGGTAGGAAAAAATCTACCAAAAGCAGAGCACTTCTGACTTCTTTGTCCTGCAGAAGCCCTCGCTATATACATCGAAAAGCTGGAGCTATGTGTTCACAAAAGAAACTAGTCCAACGTGTATATTTACCATGGATCTAGTTCGGTCCAACTCCATACTTTTCGTCCCTTCTTTTTCTTTCTTTTCATTCTCTTCGTATTTTCTTTTCATTTCAATTATAAAAAGATTTTATTTAAAATTGTTCCCATTCTCATCTCGTCTACACTTGCATTCGTAAAACAACAAGTTGAAAATTATTATCATCTTTAATCTCCTGAGTCGTTATTAATGTGAAATTTTAAATAATGATACCTTCTCTTCTATGCTCCTTTAACTTTCTATATCATAAATAGAAATAAAGATCACAAACTTCTTTAGGCTTCTTTGTTCAGTGGAAGGCGAGAAATGATTATTATATTATTATTTTCTTTAGTTCCTAGTGGAAAACAGGGTTTCAGCCACACCCCTCTATTACGTTCGGTTCTCTGCCAACGTTTTCACCTGGCTCCACGTCTGCCCACGTGCTTTCATCTCCTCTTCACATCACCTCTTCCTATTCCATGTCACCCTCGCACTGACGACCAACCAATTCGCCACTTACCATTTGGACCTCACTCTAGCAATGACCTGTGATGTCACTTGATGGTTTGTTTTCTCAGAGTATGACCAATCCACCTCCATTTCTTTCTGCATATTTCTTGCACAGTTGGCTCCTGCTGGGTTGGTTCACTCATTGCCAGAAATCCCTCCCTGTTGCTGATTATTTCCTGCTCGCCATCTGATCTTGAACGAAGTATTGAGCGAAGACAACTGTTGAGGAAGGTCTGTAGTTTGTTCCACGTACTCTTCGTGACGCGAAGAGCAAGTCTCTGGTCCGTATGGTTCGCAGCACTGACTTCACATTGGAGTTGAAAATCCGGATCTTATTATATTCATGGTGAGTGCTGTTGACCTCCACACAGACTTGAGAGTAATGAAAGCTCGCCTTGCTTTCCCGATTATCGCTTTGATATCCTCATCAGTTTCACCCGCCTGTAGTTGAAACGATGCTTTCCAGGTAGGTAGGTATTTAGGTAGGTAAAGGAAGTTGCTTCTCTCAGATTTCTCCCATTTATGCTGGCTGATTGTTTTCTGTTGTTGTTACTGTTGGTGTTGCTGTTGGTGTTGGTCAGGAATATTCATCACCTACGTATGTTTCCTCTATGTTCACCTGGAGTCTTATCTTCTCTGGACACTTCTTCTGCCAACTTGTTGCTTTTCACTTGCATATCTTCCAGTTTGTGGGAAATCAGATATATATCATCGGCGAAGTTCAGATCCTCCAAGCTTTTGTATAGGTCCGTTTTATACCTGTTTCCTCGCTGGCCGCCGTCTGTCTGTCTCACTTTCCAGTCTACCGCAATGGAGCAAATAATTGGAGATAGTTGGCAGCCAGTTTGTCTAATTGCCGTCTGAAGGATTTCTATCATACTCAAAAACCAGAGTTCAACAATAAATTATATCCAAAGTCTAGACAAAACAAAGAGTTGCCAAACAATACAATTTTCCATTAGATTAGCCATGGTCAACTGAACAAATAGATAAAAGAAAAGAATAACTCAAGTCTAAATTAAGAATTAAGCGTTTTAAGCCTCAGTCTCAACTAATCTACTTTAGTTTAATTAACGACGATTAACACGTATCGATCGATTTTCATTTAGAAAACGAAATAACCACTCGATATTATGATGCATTCACTTGTCTTACTTAATTAAGTCAATGCATTAAATATAATCTGTATGATTTCTAATGATGTCAAAGAGAAGAGCAGCATTAAAACAAATTCTATAAGTCTTGCAGAGATTTTAGCTAAATTCACTTTGAATCGATCATTGTATGTGAATGAATCAAGTGCGCTATGTTATCAATTATTAGATCAACTGGAAAGTCAACTTGTTGCACAAAAAAACGAAAAAAAGTTTCATAAAAATATCATTGCATTAGAAAATCTATGCTATCCCACCTTAGGAAATATACAGATTGCTGACAATGGTTCAGCTTACATTAGAGAAACATCAAAAAAGTCAGTAAACAATTTAACCGACTGGTTAACAGCTCTGTCTGAAACACTTGAACGACATACACTCTGGGATTCTACAAATGATCAATCGAATTTATTCATTACACTAATTGACGATTTAAAATATCCACATGCTAACAGTATACTGAAATCCATCGAAATGTGGAAAAAATCCTGTTTATATTTGTGTTCCCTTGAAGAACAGAATTATTTGTCAAGTCTAAAAGTAAACAGTCAACAGTATTTATCACTGAAAAATCTACAACTACGCAGTAGTAAAGCTGAAATGCACAAATTACTCGGTGGACAATTAAAACAAACAATCAGTATCACTGGGAATAAATATAAGAATTCAATGTGTTCAGGGTTAGTGAGCGATAATTTCAGTTCATCAAAAAATGAAACTAATTGTAACTCTGACAATGAGATGAAGCAAACACCTACTGAAAAACAGGCATTCATACAATGGGTGGAAAAATGGCGTTGTGTAAATGCAGAATTTATAGCTAAGCAACTGGTTAGAGATTCTAAACCATCACGTGAAACGGAAGGTGATATTTATCAGGATTTAGATAAATCCAGTGACACTCTGAACAGATGCATGATATCATCAGTTCAGGAGAAGACAATCCCCGGAGATTATGGCGTGTATATGGATACATTGAAAACAATGTATAGAACGTTGGTTAGTCGACCCTTGTCTACGCTACATCGTGGTATTAAAGAAGTTGCCGGTCAGTTAAAAACGCATAAATTCAAGCACTCAGAAGGTGTTAACAGAACACTGAAAGAAATGCGAAATTTGTTCACAAATCATTGACTGTGAACTGGAAAAAGGAAGAGGAAACATACACTGACGACTATTCACTACGTAGTCTGAACTTGGTAGATTTTAAATTCAGATATTTAAAAAAAATCTGAGGGGAAAACGACTGGATTTATATAGTGTAAAGGATTCTTGTATACAAATGTTTATTAAAATAAACATGACTAGTAGTGTGACGTGTCTAGTCCTGTCTTTGGTGCAGACTGAATTCTATCAATTAGGTTTTGCAATGTGGCCACCATTCTAGGTAGCTGGTCATCACGCTGCACATTTATTCGATGATATTAGATAGTTGGAGGCAGTCAGCACACTAGTTACTAATGTCCAATCAAAAAAACCCACCACAGTCCTACAGGAGGTTAATCGCGGGCCTGAATAGCTCAGTGGTAACGTCTCTGACTCCTGTTAGCACTTAGTGACGCGGGTTTGAATCCCAGAAGGGCATGAGTTCCTTCAAGGTTGCAGATACTCCTTTATGACTGACTGGTGAGTGGCAACTAGCACGAAACCTGGGTCCAAGGCTTCCTGTGGCCGATTGCCCCCAACTATCTAAACATGACTAGTACTTGGTATGTTTGAGAAGTCATGTCAAAAAGATACAGATATGATGTACCGAATATCCACCTATTTGAGGGTCTGCACAAACAAAAGCTCCAGCAAAACCATAAGAGATAGGAGTTGAGAAGAAAACATGGAAAGACAAAGTTGTTAGAAGTTGTATAACGCTACAAAAATAAAGGCGAACAAGACAAATAGGATAGTGAAATGTGATGGAATAAAGATACAGACAATGGGTGCAATGTCATCTCTATGGCGATTTTATCAAATATCTCTGATTTCTGACTGATCTCGGTGTGATTTGTCTAAAGTTCTGTGCTAAATTGGTGCTTAAAGCAGCACTCATGAGATACTACAACAGGTGTTGGTTGGTGCAGACAGTGTGACGATGGTCAGAGAAGTCATAAATCCCTAAAGAGAGCATGTAACAGATCATCTGACGAATCGCGCAACCCCGGTGCTTAAGCGTTAGATGCACACTGTACTGATACCACGAATTGGGCCTAGGCAAGATGAAAGCAAGCTACACTTGGCTTAGGTATATTAATATTACTCAAATCTGTGTGGAGGTCAACAGCAATCAGCATCAAAAATAAGATCCGGATTTTCAACTCCAATGTGAAGTCAGTGCTACTATACGGATCAGAGACTTGGCGAGTCATAAAGAGCATCTCAAACAAACTTCAAACCTTCATTAACAACTGTCTCCGCTCAATACTCAAGATCAGATGGCCAGAAAAGATCAGCAACAGGGATCTCTGGGAGCGAACCAATCAGGAACCGATTGTGAAACAAATAGGCAGAAAGAAATGGAGATGGATTGGCCATACGCTGAGGAAACCATCAAGTGACATCACTAGACAAGCCATTGCTCGAGTGGAACCAGGCCGAAAGGGAAGCGGGTGGCGAGTTGGTCGTCAGTGCATGGGTGAGGGTGGCTTGGAGGAGGTCATGCGAGGAGGAGATGAAAGCATGTGGACAGACCTGGAGCAGGTGAAAAAGTTGTCAGAAAACCGAAGTCAATGGAGGTGCGCAGCTGAAGCCCTATGTTCCTCTAGGAACTAAAGGATACAATAATAATAATAATATAGTCCCCTTGAGTTTCCAGTGAAACAAAGGGCTTCAACAATACATCTCCACTTCGTTCTGTTTACTGCTATCCTCTTCAGCCGGGTCCACCATCGCCCATTATCTCATCCCTCATCTGTTGCACCTCGCACGTTCTCTTTCATGTCATCTCCTCACTGACGACCCACTCGTCGCTTCACATTTGGATACCATTGGAGCGATGGCCTGCACTGCCCGCCACGTCATTCGAGGGTTTTCTCAATGTATGTCCGATTCATCTCCATTTTCTACTACATATTTGTTCAGCAGTAGCTTCATGTTTGTTTTGTTCTCGGAGTTTCTAGTTACTAATGCTTTCCGGCCGGCCATCTGATCTTCAGTATGGAGCAGGACAAGGCAGCTGCTGATAACAGTCTTCGTTAGACACCGGCAAAATTTCTGAGCCATATAGAAGGCAATACTTGGCATTGGTGTTTCAAATGAGAATCATGCACACTGTTATAAATGCAGAAAATCTCCAAACTAGTATCAGGTTGATCAATGTATATACTGCGTTTCCGATTATAACTTGAACATTTTCATCAGTGACGACTGCAAGTGGTTGAAACAATGCTTCCTAGATATATGAAGGAAGCGAACACTCTCAAATCTCTCTAGTTGACGGTGATTGATGCCGGTTGTTGTTGTTGTTGCTGTTGTTGTTGGTTGGTTGGTTGGTTGGCTATCATTACCTCCATCGGCTCTGTCTTCCCAAGACCTCCTGTCTTCCCTGCCAACCATTTTCTTCCTTTCCACCTGCAAGTCTTCGAGCTTGTCTGACATTAAGCACAAATCATCCACCCACGAAATCCAGATATTTTACAGTCTTCTTATCGGTCGTCCAGCGTATTCCTGTCTCCTCACTTCCCACTCACGTTCTCACGTATAATCCATTGCTGGTGATAATAGACAAGTAGCCTGGTCTTACTACTCTATTCGCTTCAGAAAATTTGCTGAGTTTTCTGTTGTACATAACATGAGATGGGACACTGTCATGTAGCTGTTGAATGAGGTTGATGAAGATTTGGGCAATACACACCGTAGTGTTGAATCAGTTTCCGGATCACTTTTCGGTCAACGCTGTCTGCTGAAGCCCTTTCCGAAGTCGAAAAAGTTGAAGTAGAGGGAGGTTTGACTACCATTCTATGCTTGTTCAGAGATGATGATGATTTGTAGATATGCACTTGGATCAGCACATGATTTGCCTTTCCTGAATCCAGTCAGCTTGTACGGGCGGATGGTGGAGTTCTGCATCCAATGCATCTTTTATTCCCCCCTAGAAAGATGCGACTTAGCATTTTCCTTGGCGTGGGTGGACAAGAGCATTATTCCACGTCTGTTCTTACAGAGTGAGGCGTAAGTCACCCACCATTCTTTTGTAGGTTGATTAGGTAGATAGCATTTATTCCAATCAGCACATACCTTCCTTTACTTCGAAACACTCGGTGACAATGAAGTGGGCATGTCTGTTGCCGTCTCTGGGTCTGTTTTCAGTGCACCAGAGTTGGGGTGGGGATTCCGTCTGAACCTGATGCCTTCCCGGCCAGCGTTCAGTAGCTACATCGCATTCAGGATTTCTGATTTCGTTAGCTGGAGGGTTGGTGTCCACTGCGAGGCACTTCTGTCTCTGTTGTTGTTGTTGTTGTTGTTAGTGGTGGTGGTGGTATTTCTGAGTGAGTCGCCGGTGACAGTCGATCCAAGAGTCTTTTGAAGTGATCATGCCAGTGTTTTATTTGTTTCTCCGCCTTGGTAATAAGGTTCCCTTGAGCATCTTTTATTGGTTTCGTCATCTGGGTAGATCTCTTCCGGGATAGCAAGCAGCCTGGTTATCTGATGTAATGTTCTGAGTTCTTTCCTATATGCACCTGCCTGTTATGCCTCAGTTGACAGTCAGTGTGTCGCAGAATTGTCTTTTGTCTCTCCTGGTACTCCTACTCACCTCTTTATTTATTCGGTGCAGTGTACATTGCTGTGAACTCAGCCTCTCCTCTCTTCTATGAGCTTCCAGGTAGGCGTCCATTGAAAGATATTCCTTGTCTTGTGTCTCTTCTTCCTTCTTCCCAGAACAGTTGTACACGTTTCCTTGGACATCACATGCAGACAGTTAGTTCCAATGTTCCTCCCCTCACACAGGTTTCCTCAGTGATGCCACGTAGTGTCTCCGACTCTACTATGATCTCATCTGCGGTGAAGGTGGGTAGGGTATCCCTTGTAGTCTTGTACTTCACTTCCTGAATGTTGAACTTGAATCACAGTGCCCTGTCTCCAGTTGTTCTGAAGGATTTAAGCTTCCCCTTGAATCTTCCTCGAACTAGATGATGATGATGATGGTGGTCTGTGCTCACATGTGCTCCCCTTCTCGACTTTGTGTTCATCAGAAAGGCTGCATCTCCAATTCCTTGAGTGACATTGAGATGAAGTCTATCTGGTTTGTGGTGTGTCCATCAGGTGAAATCCATGTGGCTGGCTTTGTGTATATCCTTGTGGTTGTACATGCTGCCTCCAATCACCAGATACCTGAAACCTCAAAGGTCGGCTAGGAGTTCTCCACTTTCATTCATTCCGCTGAGCAAAAGCCTCTCCACCCATGATGAGTTCTCTTCCTGTATTGTCTGGTCCCAGTCGGCAGACATTCATATTGCTCATGAGGATTTTGATGTCACCAATCGAGATGTTGTCCATTACTGTTTGTAGTTGTCTGTACAGGCCATTCTTCTCCTCTTATTCGGCGTTGTTTGTAGCATTGTGAGTAGCATTGGATGATTGTAACACTGCTTCCTTCATTCTCAGTTGAATCTTGCTGTCGTGATCCTGCAGGATGACATTAGTTCTCACTGTATTAGGGTTCTGGCTGCCACTGGTGACATCATGATAGCCATTCACTGCCTCAGTGTGCTCGTGTTTGTCGTCTTCGGGGATGACCATACCGGAGTGGATTACTGACTCTCCAGTTGACAATTTTTGACATTCCGCATCCATTCCACTTCTGTTACAGATTCCCAGCACTTCTATGCCACATCTTTGCATTCCTTCAGTCACCTGGGCAGCCTTCTCAGCCCACTTTGTACAATGTACGAACATACACGTCTCCATGCTTAGCTGTTGCTTTCATCAAATTTCCAGCACTTCTATGCCAAATCTTCTCATATCTTGGCTACCTGGGTAGCTTTCCAGTCTCGTACATTGTACAAGCATTCCACATATTCAATCTTATTCTTGCTTTCATCGAAAGAGCGACGACACATTTGTTGACTGACTGGTTTCCCGAAGGCTTTCACGAGCCCGCTGTCTCAACTCGCCTCTCCAATTCTAGCAAAGAACAAGTTCGCCCTTGTATTTTTAATATATTTGTTTTGCATGGAAATCTATGGAGCAGTTTGACTGGTTTTGTGATGTAAGTTTGCTAGCCCTCCCCTCTTTAACCGGG